ATGAGATAATACTTGTAAAGTGCTTGCTTGGCATAAGTAGCCTATAAATAGCACTTATTATAGTACAGTTGTTACTAAAGTATAAGAAAACTAAGTAGAGGAAAATTTCAGTTTAGGACATTGAGCAACCGTTAATTGGTAGAAGTAACAATGATGATGCTGGTACCTAAGGATTATTAGCTCAGTGCTGAGTGCTGTTTTGAAAGTCCTCTAGTGCATGTTGGGGTGTGGTTATAGCTCATTCACACTGGATATATCAAGACCAAGCAGTAGAAAACATTTAAAATGGAAGTGTTGGAATCCATTTGTAGCATGCATCAAAAATAAAGATACATTTGAAGTGATATTGGAAATTGCTGGGGGAAAGCATCTTACAGAAGTTATGTTTATGCACATTTTTGGCTTTGGCATAGTGAGCTGTGCTTCTCTGCCAAGACTAAGGAGCAGGATTTCTGCCTGTGAAAGAGTGGGAGCCGGGAAATTGGGTTCTGGTTTTTGCCCCATCACTGGCTTCTCTGTGTGCTTGGGCAGATCGCTGGCTTTCACTGAGCAGGATTCTGATTCCTGAAAAAGAGCTAACTGTTAGCCCTCCTGGTGAGGAGTAGAGTAGATGATATCTTTGAAAGCAGGTGGAGTGTTAAATCACAAAGTAAATGCAAATGTATGTTTCTTCAGTATGGAAAAAACTGTTAGCTGCCATTTTACAGCTAGGATTTTATTCTGTGGGCCTCTTGAGTTCTATAATCCCCAGATAAATACTTTTTTGAAATACCCAGCCTCAGGGGCTTTTACACCCCAATATGTAGGTAAAATTCCTTGTTACTCCAGTCTGACTTCTTTCCCTTTGATCCCAGAGGAACCTGCTATGATTTCCTTCCAACACCTAATATTAAATGTACTTTCTCTCTCTTTGTCTTCATTTACCTCAAATATTCTACTCTTGTCCATAACATTTAGCTTTGAGATACTGTGATCTTACAGCTTTGGAGTTGCTGTTATTGTTTTCTTCTTTTTCAATCCTACTGCTTCCTGGACTGGTTTCCTGTCCAGGAAGGACTTAGTTTTCCTTTGTGTGGCTTGGTTCTAGCACTTTCTCTCTACTTCCTCCCGAATTGCTGCCCTTCCTGCCTCTAGATTACCACACTGTCAAAGGGCTTCTTCCTGAAGCTTCATTCAAATAGTTAAATGTACTGGCTCATAAGCCTGAGGTTTCTTCAGCAAATAAAATCCAAACTTGTAATACTTTATGTTTAAGACCCTCTGCCACATGACTCCTGCTCTCCCTCCCCCTCCACTATCTACATTTGTACTTCTTCACAGTCCTGACCAGTATTTCCACTAAGGCGGCAGACTTCTCAGACCCATCCCTTTCCCATCACACATCCTGGCATCTCTTCTTAGCTCTCACAGATCAATGGTACAGCCTCAGTTACGTAGATTAATCAGGTAGGCATTTACTTAAACACAGGCTATACTCCTATCTGTTGGCTTTTCCTGTAGAAGTAATTTACAAATGGTGATTAGTTTCTGGGCTGTCTCGCAGATACCCACTAAGCTGATAATGCTGTTGCAGGACGGGATCTGTGCATGAACAACAGAAAAGAAGCATTACTTACACATTTGAGTAAGGACCTCTTTGATTTTTATCATGATAGCCTATCCCTAAAGAAGAGCGTGCTTGTTTAGAGAATGAGAAATAGAAACTTGAGAATTTTCTGAGTGTTTAGGAACCTGTATGGATTTGGACACTTAAAAGTTCTAGTTATATTCCCCAGTGTCCAACTTGCCTTTTCTTTGATACTGTTGGGTCATTGAATCCTTTAAACATATCTACTCTGATTTGCTTTCTGAAGGCACAGCTGAAATGAATACAGAAGAAGGCACTGGGGAGAGGAATTTTCTTGAGATAGGTGGGCAAGAGCTGAAAAGAGAGGCGTAGGGAAGAAAGATCTGTTAAGGATGACATGTGAGTGTCTGTGTGGTGGTGTTTTGAGGTGGCATTCCTGGGATTGTGAGTGATGAAACAAGACAAGTGGGAATATGCATATCATTCCCTTGGGGATAAGCAAAGACGTGGTGAAGAAGAGATGCTGGGCAGAAGGCTGTCCAGGTGACCCCCAAGGGGGGGCCAACAGTTTGTTTGCTGTCGGGGTGGCCTGGGGTTGGGTTGGGTGTGGACAACACGTGAGACCTGAGTGAGAGCTCTGGGGATGCCCTTCTGCTGAGGGAAGCCTGGCAGCAGGTGGGATGACCACGCCACACGGAGGGTCCGTGAAATTTCATCAGATCAGGAAGAAAACCAGAGCTCTGGTGAGGTAGGCTTCTGATGAATTAAATTCACTAACTGGACCTGTTGGACAGATCATAGCTAATATTTTGGGGGCACTTACTTGGTGCCAGGCCTTAGATAAGCATTTTACATTAAATTTTAATTCAATAACCCTGTGAGGAAACCTATCTAAGAGGTTTGACCCCCTCAAGTTCCTCTACCAGTAAATGGCAGAGCTCCCCCCACCCCCCGCACTCTGACTATCCCCCGCCCCCCCCATCTGCTTGATGCAGGCTTTCCTAGCATGCTGTCAGGTGGAGGCTATTTGGTCCAGTCCCCACATTTTTAATGTGAAGATTCAGCTCTGCTGCTTTGTTGCTCGTTACTATGTATCTTTGTGTAGGTGTCTGCAAAACGTGCACAATATAGCTAAGAGCACCAGAAAGGGAAACATTTTAACACTGAATTTTTTGGTTCTCCACAGTTAATTAATGCAGAGGAATTGTCCTAGAAGAGAATGTGGGAAAGCTTCTAAACAGCAGGGCTTCTATAACTTTCATCTCTAAGATTATGTTCACATTTCAGTAGCACTTTTAGGGGTTCAGACTTTGCTAATCACATATTCTAAATGGAGGTGAGGAGGCCATCCAATATAATACCAACATCCTTTGAAAAGAGACCCATAAAACCCAGAGGTTAAAGGTAACTTCCCACTAATGGGAAGACTACGCTATTCCCACAAAATTCCACAAAGAAATTCTCAGGTATTCTAGGAGATGCCAGGCATTTAAAAATAAAGTGTGAGTAAAAATGTTTAAAGCTAGAAATGGTTCTGAAAAATAGCAGGGGGACCTGAGAAGGTGTTGTTGAGGGCTTGAGAGTGTTTGGGATTGAAAACATAAGTGCCTTCTGGATCCCTTAGGTTGCAGGAGACCAAACTGCCTGAGCAACTTTTAGGTCATTACCAGTAGGTACTCTGGGTGGAGGACCGCTGACTTCTGACCTCCTATTTTATGAAAGCCAAAGTTTGCATATTTTTCTGCTCTGTCTCTCTGAGCTTGAAGAGACGAGTTTGTGTGTAGTGGATTATGAGCCAGGCTGTAGGGACAAGTAACTTTGTAAACTGGCATTAATGGAGTTGGCTCTGGCTGAGGGGAGGCATGGAGTCTCGGTGGTCCCAGGACCTGGATTTGAGCGCTGGCTCAGTTATTTCTGACCGTGTGGCCTTGTTCTTCACATTTGTCATCTGTAAAATACCTCTCTCTCTTGCTCCACCTTCTTCACTAGGTGTTGTGAAAATAAAATGAGATGTGTGAATTCTGATTCTTGGCATTACTGTCCCATATGAGAAGTGCTTGCTTGGGGCTTAAAATTTGCTCCTATTTTAATTTGGCATCCACAGTGAGACATATTTGGGAGGCTTAAGTAAAGCATTGAGAGCATTTAACTAACTAACTGTTACTGGGGAGCTGATTATTTAATTTGCAGAATTTTAGGACTTCCTATCACCTGCTCTAATACTTAGAATATAGACACAGCTGCCGTAAGAGAGAGATCGAGAATAGCAGAGGCTTAAACAACCTGGAAGTGCATTTCTCTTTCATGTAACAGTCCAGATATAAATGGTCTGGGGCAGTTTTGGGGGTGGGGTGGTACATGGAGTCAGGGACAGAGGCTCCTCGATCTTGTTTTCCCACATGGCTCTCACCTCTTGGCCCGAGGTGGCTGTCCCAGTTCTGGCCACCAGGAAGGGCATGGCCACAGCTTTACAGCCTGAGCTATTGAAATGCCCACACTTGGCTACACTATATAGTTGAGCTTAGCATTCATGCCTTCAGTTAAAAATTCCATTACTGTGTAAGAAAGTAGACTAAATATTGTGGGACCTGCCACAGCTGCTGGGGGTCAGGTTATCACTTCCCTTTAAGAAGTTTACATAAGGGGCACCTGGGTGGCTCAGTTGGTTAAGCGACTGCCTTTGGCTCAGGTCATGATCCCGGAGTCCCGGGATCGAGTCCTACATCGGGCTCCCTGCTCAGCTGGGAGTCTGCTTCTCCCTCTTACCCTCCCTGCTCTCATGCTCTCTCTCTCTCAAATAAATAAATAAATAAAAATTCTTAAAAAAAAAAAGTTTACATAAGATGGAAGATGGCGGTTTTCATTCACCTACTCATGTAAACAACTATGGGATGACATTTGAAGGGGAGAACGAGGAGGTTAAGGCTGTTGGCTTAGAACAGGTTTGGAGATGATCTGTACTTTTCTTCTATTCAGGATTTAAAGCCATATTTATTATTCATGGAGCACTAGTCCCCTCTCGCTACATTCTACACCCCATGTTGGGTACTGGGGACTCAGAGATCATGGTCCCTGCTCTCCAAAGGCCCACCCCACAAAGGGAGGGAGGCAGGCGTGTCCGGCATTGAGCACGTGACTGTCTGGTGTGCACTCTGATGGGAGGCAGATGGGGGGCTGTGGGAGCTCATGGGGGAGACCTGCCCATCCCAAGGAAGGTAGGGCGTGGGTGTGTACGTGTGCATGTTTGTGTGTGTGCATGTATTTTGGATGCAGGATGCATAAGGTCACTGGCAGAAGGAAGTATAACTGGTGTTACATCTGTATCGCCTGAAATAGTGACGGGTCCCTGAGAGAGCAAGTGAACTGATAGGATGCTCTGTTTCCTAGTGTCATGTCTATGGCTTAATGTCTTTATTTCTGTTTCTCTTCCTAGAAACTCTCAGTGTGTCTGCCTGGACGATTTGTCACAAGGAACAATGCTGCCCCGTTGGGAACTGTCTTTTTACCTGTTTGCTTCACTAGGCTTCCACTTATATTCTTTCTATGAAGTTTACAAAGCTTCTAGAGGTAAGGCCCCAACTTTCCTGACCTTCTATCAAGAAAGGAAGGAGGAAGGAAGTACTCAGAGGTAGAAGATTCAGGAAGATTGTCTAATGGGCTGGGGATGACTTGGCCCCTGCTTTGCTCTCCCCTCTCTGGGACACTTTGAGTCCATGATCTGAGTCAGTGCTATTTTCCACCCCAATCCTTGATCTTGGAGTGGATCCTGTAAGAGGAGGGTTTGATTCAATGGCTATTGAAGGCTGTGGAGGTGGTATGCAGTAACCTCTTCCATCTTTCTTCCATCATCATTGCTCTCAGACATGTGGAGGCAGCTCACGGTATTAGAGGCCTAGACTCCTTTGTCCTTTTGTTCTGCTGTGTTTAGTGCTTTGTATGCTTGTTGAAGAATCATCATCACCAAATCCACATTCCAGCCTATAGGAAGGGGGCTGAGAATCCTCCTGTCCTTGAAGGGGAGCTCAGCAAGTTACCCTTATCACTTCTGCTCACCCCCACTTGGCCAGTGCCAGGTCTTATGGACACACCTGGGAGGCTGAGAAACATCATCTTTAGCTTGGTGGCCATGCACCACTCAGACTTCCCATGTTATGGAAGAATGGGAGAAAGAAATGAGGAGGGACCATGATGGTCTCTTCTGTAATCAGGGACAGTTTCCTAGAGGAGATGATGATTACTTACGACGATTTTGTTGTGAGACAGAACAGGAGCCTGCAGAGTAGGGAAGATGTCAGAGGATCTGTGGAAAGAGAGGAGTTTGTAGGCAAAGGGACAAAACTTTGGGGTGTGAGGAAGCATAGCATGGTCTGGCAACTACAAACCACTCGGTGGGACTGGAGTATAGAATGTGAGGGGACAGTGGTAGGAGGTGAGCTTAGATCAAAAAGCAGGGAAAGGCTGTGAAAGACATTTCATATTTATGTGTGGAGTTTGGCAGGAGAGTATGCTGAAAAGTCACTTAAGATGGTAAAAGGGGGATTTGGAGAAGCACAGGTGAGAGTGCTCTGCTCTGAACACCTACCTCCTTATGGATCACTGGGACTAATTTTGATATGTATCCCCAGGATTGATTTTTCTCCCATTCTACATATGTCCCACTCAAGGCCATGGGTTTGGGTGCAGAGACAGACGATCTACAGTAGATGAGGACTGTTCTTTTGTCCAGGCTGGCCAAGTAGTTGTATTCCCCTGCTGGAGCCTCTGAGCTCCCATGTGGGGGAGCCAACCCTGCTCTATGTCAGGCACCATATTAGATACTCCATGTACCTTGTCTCGTGCGAACTTTACAACAGCCCTACGAGATGGTATATTACTTCGAAGATAGGCTTGGCAGCAGAAACACAGCCTCCAATATAACTGTTCCAAGGCTCATGTGGTGTCCAGAGAGCATCAAAGAGCCTGGCTCCTTCTATCATGTCCCTCTGCCATCTTCGTCATGTGGCTTCACCTCATGATGTAAGGTGGCTGCTTCAGCTCCAGCTGTCATGTTCACTTTTCTCCCAGAAGGAAGGATGGAAGGGAAGGGAAGGGGAGAACAAACCCTCCTCTTTTCTGAGCATGACTTGAAAGTTGCTTAAATCGTACCTATTGACATACCATTTGCTAGAACTCAGTCCTGTAGCCACATCAACTGTGAGGGGAGCAAGTAAATGTAATCTTTGGTTGGAAGTCCCATTTATCCAGCTAAATTCAAGAGTTCTATTATAGAGGAGGAAAGAATGGGTATTAGCAGCTAATCAGCTGCTAATATTAGCAGCTAGTCTTTTCCATAAATGGAGGGGGAAAGAATGGGTATTAGCAGCCAATCAGTAGTCTTTTCCATAAATGGATGTCAGTATTCCAGATTTTCGCCATTCTAGTAGGGGTGTAGTGGTATCTCATTGTTTTAATTTGCATTTCCCAGATGACATGTGATGTGGAGCATCTCCATATGCTCATTGCCATATATATCTAATCTTCCTTGGTGAGGTGTTTGTTCAGGTCTTTTGCCCACTTTTTAACTGGATGGTTTATTTTCTTATTCTTGAGTTTTAATAGTTCTTTGTATATTTTGGATAATGATTTTTGCAAATATTTTCTTCCAGCTTGTGGCTTGTCACCTTATTCTCTTGACAGTGTCTTTTACAGAGCAGATATTTTAAATTTTGGTAAAGTCCAGTTTACCAATTGTTTCTTTCATACATTGTGTCTTGGGTATCTAAAAAGTACTTCCTAGAGCCAAGGGCATCTAGATTTTCTCTTATGTTATCTTCTAAGAGTTAATTAGTGTTGCATTTTATATTTAGATCTATAATATCCATTTTCAGTTAATTTTTATCAAGTGTGTAAAGTCTGCATCTAGATTTACTTTTTTGAATGTGGATGTCCAGGTCCAACATTTGTTGAAAGACCATCTTTCCTGTGTTGTATTACCTTTGCTCCTTTATCAAAGGTCAGTTTACTGTATTTATGTGGGTCTTTTACTGGGCTTTCTATTCCTCTATTTGTCTATTCTTTCACCAATGCCGCAGTCTCATGGATACTGAGGTGTTATAGTAAGTCTTAAAATTGGGTGACTCTGACTTGTTCTTCTCCTTCAATATTGTGTTGGCTATTCTGGATCTTTTGCCTCTCCATATAAACTTCAGAATCTTGTCATCAGTATCCAAAAGGGACTTGCTGGGATTTTGATTTGGATTGCATTGAATCTATACATGAAGTTGAGTAGAACTGACATCTTAACAATATTGAGTCATCTTCCTGTCCGTGAACGTGGAATATCTCCATTTTTTTTTTTATTCATCAGAGTTTTCTAGTTCTCCTAACATATAACTTGGATGTATTTAGTTAGATTTATACCTAAGTATTTTATTTTTGGGGGGTGCTAATGTAAATGGTATTGTGTTCTTAATTGTAAATTTCACTTGTTCATTGCTGATCTATAGGAAAGTAACTGACTTTTGCATATAAATCCTGTATCCTGTAACCTTGCTATAATCACTTACTGGTTCCAGGAGTTTTTTTGTAGATTCTTTGGATTTTCTACAGAGGTATTTGTATTATCTGCATACAAAGACAATTTTATTTCTTCCTTTCCATTCGGTATACCTTTTTTTTTAAGATTTTACTTATTTATTTGACAGGGAGATAGAGCCAGAGAGCACAAGCAGGGGGAATGGCAGAGGGAGAGGGAGAAGTAGGCTCCCTGCAAAGCAGGGAGCCCTATGCGGGGCTCGATCCTGGCCCCTGGGATCATCACCTGAGCTGAAGGCAGACGCTTAACTGACTGAGCCATCCAGGTGCCCTCCATTTTGTATACCTTTTATTTCATTTTCTTATTGCACTATCTAGGACTCCCATTATGATATTGAAAAGGAGTGGTGAGAGGGGACACTTTTGCCTTTTATCCTGATCTTAGCAGGAAAGCTTTCTGACCATTAAGTATGATGTTCACTGTAGGTTTTTGTAAGTGTTCTTAATCCAGTTGAGGAAGTTCCCTTCTATTTCTAGTTTGCTGAGAGTTTTTATTTGAAAATGGGTGTTGGATTTTGTCAAATGCTTTTTGTGCCTGTATTGATAAGACCATTGGTTTTTCTTTTTTGGCTTGTTGGTGTTATGGATTACACGAACTCATTTTTGTGAGTCTTTGTCCATGAGTTTGTTTTTAACAAACCTCTACTGGACTCAGCAGGGCAGGTCTTCTGCTATGTGTGTTGTTAGCTGGGGCTGCAATCATCTGGTGGCTCACTCATGTGGCTAGCCAAGACCTCAGTGGGGGGCTGTCAGCTAGCATGCAGAGGTTCTCTCTGCATGGCTCTCTACATGGCTTATATTTCTTATAACAGGACAGCTGGATTCAAGAGGGAGTATTGCAAGTACACAAAAGCAGAAGCTACAGATCTCTTGAAGCTCAGCCTGGGAAGTTGTACAGTTCACTTCCGCCTCATTTATTGGTGAAAGCAAATCACAGCTCTAGTCCAGATTCAAGGGGAGTAAAGACTACACCTCTTTATGGCTGGAGCAGCATGTATGTGCATGGAATTTATGGCCGTCATCTTAGGAGTCTATTACAATGGGTGTTGTACGTTTTTTACCCAGGTGAGGATACAGAGGCTGAAAAATATAACTTGTCTAAGGTCACACATAATGGAACTGGGTTTAAAATCAGAGGTGTCCAACTCGAGACCCAGTATTTGTTCTCTTCTGCCACTCATATTTATTGATAATTCCTAAAGCACCTCGCTTTAAAAGGGGAGGCCCTTTTGTCTATTCTACTACAAAATTTTAAAATTTTATCAAAAATTGGAATAAAATGTTTCCTTTCTGTGTCCTGCTGGCTGCTGGGATGGGGGTGGGAGGGGATCCTTCTGTGGATAGTATGAAGCTTTTCTGCACCTCAGCTGATTCAGAGGCTGTCATGCTGTTTGACTTATTAGTGACCACTCCCTAGCCTGAAGCTTCTTTTATCCTGTTTTTCCTTTAAATGTCAGTGCCAAAGTGTTTCTCAGGTTACTCCCAAGAAATGTCTTCTTTCTCTAACACTTTTGCCAGTTCAGCTCATGGAAGCCGGATCCCCTTGTCTTGCCAAAGTATGTTTAATGGTGCAATGTTAAGTCTTCTTGGCTCCATGTCTTACTGTCTAGTTTGGGAAAAAGTGCTACTTAGCTGCATGATAGAAGTAGGTCACTGGGAAAACTGTCTCTTCTGTAAACTTTTTTGGGATGTTTGTATCTGGAGCAAATAGAGTGCCTAGAACATAATACAGGCTCAAAACTTACCCACTAAGTGAAATGCCACCAGTGGGCATCTGCATGGCTGCTTTCTCTGGGTGTGGACCAGGCGTCCTGTTCACTGCACTCTGTCTGGGGAAGCAGGGTTGTCAGGCCATTAGGGACAGCAGGCTGATTCTAATGGCCTTCATCAAATGGAATCTTTTGGTAAATTCACAACAGGGACTGAACAGAACACCCCTTCTTCCTCCCGACTCTACCAGGCGTAGAGCATCTCTAAGTCATATGGAAGTACTT